AACAGCAGCTGGGTGTGGTGACACACACCTGTCATCCCCGTGTCTCAGGAGGCCCAAGTTCAAGGCCAACCTGGGCAACTTGGTGAGGCGGTGTCTCAAAATAAAATATAAAAGGAGCTGGGAGTGTAGCAAATGGCCAATAAATATATAAATTTTATTTTATCTCACTTCAGGTACAATGGCTATCATTAAAAAAAATGCTGACTAGGAACACTTATATAGTGTTAATAGAGTATAAATTAGTACAGTACGGAAGTTCCACAAAAAACTAAAAATATCAATGATCCAGTTATCCCACTCCTGGGTTTATTATACTGGCGGGAAAAGAAGTCAGAATACAAGAGACACCTGTGCCCGTATTTACGGGCACCTGTACCCACTATTCACAACAGCCAAGATGCGGAATCACCTAGGTGCTGCCCCCAGAGGGATGGGTAAAGAAAACATGGTAAATAGACACAATCAAGTATTCGTCCAGCCACGAGGAAGAATGGAAGCCTGTCATTTGCAGGAAAATGGACAGAACTGGAAACAAGTCAGTGCAGAAAGACAAGTGTCTCACGTTCTCTATTTTGTGCAGAACCAAAAAATACAGGTGACCTGCAAATTGGACTATAGAGACGAGGCAGGGGTGGGGGAAAGGGAGGGTGTGAGAGGGTAGGGTGATGGTCATGACCAAGGCATGATCAATGCTCCTTGCAAAGGTCACACTGAAACCCATTAATTCGTATAGTTCATGGATATTAATTTTAAAAACTCTGCTGGGGGTGGGGGCATAGCTCAGTGGTGAGGCCCGTGCTAGCTCATGCAAGGCCCCAGGTTGTATCCCCAGCACCACCACACATAAAAATTCTGTTGGGAAGATGGACAGTTGACCATACATTTCTACATACAGAAAACCAAGCAAATGAAAAAACACACGCACTTTCTTTTAACTTTAAGGAAAACAAAAGTTGCGTAAGAAAGAAAGGAATGCTATACACTGCAATACCCAGCACCCCCAGGAATCACACTCACAGCGAGGGCACCCCAGTGGAGGTAGCCGCGGGACACAAGGAAGAATGGCAGGGCCAGGAGCTCACTGGGCACTCACCTGGAGTTCCACTCAGCCCCACAAAAGAGGAGGAAAGAAACCAGCAGCTGAGGAGGACAAGGCAGGAGAATGTCAAGTTCAAAGCCACCTAAGCAACTCAGCAAGACACTGTCTCTAAACACAAAAAGGGCTGGGGGCCTGGCCCAGTGGTGAAGCGCCCCAGGTTCAATCCCCAGCACCAAAAAAGAAAGACAGAAAAAAAAGAAAATGCCAGTGGGCCTGGCCAAGCCCCTGCAGGTATCAGGACAATGGCCTTGGGAAATGCAACCTGCTAAGGGGTGAGGCCACCAGGGAAGTCGGGAATCCCAGGATGGCACCATGGGTATTGTTTTCCTGCTGTGCTCTGCCTTTTCCAAGTGCCAATGCTCATCTCTGAATGCTCACCTCGGATGGATGGGCACAGATCAGCTGCTCTGACAGCTGCGCCAACCCCGCCTCTTTCCACAGTGACCTCCCACCTCCCCTGGCAGGGGCAGCTTTGGCCAGGCACGCTTGCTGTGGTTGGTAGGGTCTGTCTGTGGGGTGTACAGCCACACCTGTACTTCCCGTTAGCCATCCTCTACAGGAGTGGTGTCCAAAACGCCTGTCCTATCTTCCACTGGACTGACCTGGCTCTTCTGGGGTCCTGCCTGGTGGTGCTGTCAGCACCACCAGGCAGGACCCCAGAAGAGCATGTGAGCCCGTGTGTGGCCGCTGGCGATGGAGTGTGGAGACTGCAGGGGAAATGAGGCTTCCACTGCAAGACCCAGGCACAAGTCTGTGGAAGAGTCTTCCATGTCTTACACTAGCATATAAAATGTTAACACAGAAAAGAAAATTGGCAGAAAGTTCTCAATTTGATGACAACCTTAAACACGTATTTGTTTACCAGTAATGACTTTTGCAGACTATTGGTAATACATTTCCATCAGCCATGCTACAGGAAAGGCTGAGTTTACCTTTCTACTCCCTCCATAGAAAATACAGTAAGGGCAGCCAGGAGCCATGGTACACATCTGGAATCCCAACAACCCTGGAAGCTGAGACAGGAGGATCACAAGTTGGAGGCCAACCTTGAAAACTTAGTCTCAAAGGAAAAAGGGCTAGGGACATAGCTCAGGAGTAGTGTCCCTTGGCTCAATCCTCAGTAGAAAACAAGGGAGGAAGGAAATACAAGGGCTGGGGTGTAACTCAGTAGTACAGTGCTTGCCTAGCATGCTCTAAGTACAGGGTTCCATCCTCAACACCACAAAAGAAAATGGAAAAAAAATCATAAAAATCATTGTCATTCAAAGATGCAAAGAATATGAAGCCAAAAGAAGATGAAAAACATAGAATAACGAGAAGCAGCAAACAAATTGTTCTTTTTTTATGTTTTGACACACTGGCAGAATTTGTTAATCTCAAAATGCATAGTTGTGACTGCTGATTTTTTGTTTGGTTGTTGTTGTTTTGGGGTACTGGGGATTGAACTCAGGGGCACTTTACCACTGAGCCACATTCCTGGTCCTTTTTATTTTTTAATTTGAAACAGGGTCTCACTAAGTGGCCAAAGGTTTCACTAAATTGCTGCCACTGGCCTCAAATTTGTGATCCTCCTACCTCAGCCTCCCGAGTGTTTGGGATACTAAGCATGGGCCACCACTTGTGACTGTTCATATTCTAAAGAAATGACTTTTGTATCTAAATTGGAATTTGTAAATTTGTATTTTCTTAAAGAGGGCCCCCTAAGTTGCCTAAGCTTCAAGCCTAAAGAAACCTGACACCACCACCCCCAGGAGAATTAAAAAAACATAAAGTACATTGCATGTGATAAACACTCAAGTTAGTGACTGTTGCTTTTTGAACCAGCAGTGGGGTGGGTGGAGGCTATGGCCCACCAGCTAGGAAGAGGTTCCTGCAAAGGCATAAAGGCTGGGACTGGAGGGGCAGGGTGGCTCCCAGAGCTGCTGAAGGAAAGGGAGGTGGAAAACCAGGGAGGAGGGCAGGGACCGGAAGCTGAGGGAACAGGGGCAGGGGATGGGGTAGAGAGAGGTCTGGCAGATTCCCAGGGCGCCTTGGCTGGAACTATCCTCCACCAACCAGAAGCAACAAAGCCCACCTCTTGGGAGGTTGTCTCTCTGCTCCCCTACCTTTTGGCATCAGACTCTTGACCTCAGAAGAAGCCCCTAACAGAACAGCAGGGTGCTGGGTACAGGTGAGAGGGTGGGCAGTGGGGCCTGCTCTCCTCCCTCCCTGGGAGGTCTGTTGGAAGACTGAGTCTCCAGCCAGCACCCAACCCAGCTCACTACAGGAGTGTGAGTTAAAGACACTCATTCTCTGCACCGGGTATGATGACCTTGTGTGGCCATGTCTGCCCCAGTCAGAATATTCTCTCACCCGCTGCCAGCCAGGCGGGCAGCACCAGCATAATGCCCACAAGGAGGCCCAGAGTTCAGGGTTTCCTGACCAGACTCCTAATGGCAGCATCTTTATCCCCCATCCTTGTTTTTTTTAAAGCTTCTTTGTTGTGTTGGCATGCTGTAAAAACATAAATGACCTTTTAAATAAGTTAAAATTCACAAGACCGTGGAGAACTGGCCTGTGATACTACTGCAAGCTCTATAGGAACATTTGTAAAATTTTTTAAAAATTAAGACTTCTGTTCTTCAAAATCTAAATTTGAAACCTGTAAAAACTCACCAGCTCACGCTACAGTGACTGAATCCTAAACTGTCATCCCCTCAAAGCCCCAAAGAAGCCAAGTTTTATAATAAAATCCTAAAGTTCCTAACTATTCTGAGGATGCTGGCTCTGGAAGCACAGTGAGGCTGGGGGAAGGAGGGCGGGCCAGCTCTGGCTTGCAGACACAAGTGGATCTGCTTTCCAAGAAGAATGTTTGCCCTGAAGCTCTGGCTTTACCGCCAGTGCAGCTGGGACTGGGGTCCCCCCTTCTCCTTTAGGATGGTTAGCAGAGGTTTCACGCTTTTTAACTCCAGCATCTTTAGAGCATTTTCGGACTTTTAGAACGAAAAGAAAAACGCCTTTTCTTTGGAAGGCCAATCTGCCCACACCCCTCCTCCGAGCCCAAGCACAGACCTTAACAAGCTGAACTTGGGACAAGGCTTCTTCCTACTCAAATTAAGCCCAGCGGGAGGCCCCCTTATCCCTGCCACACTGCCGGCGCTCCCTACTGCGTGCCAGCGCTCCCTACTACGTGCGGCTGCACTGCAGGAACCGGGGAACAAGCAGGAAATGAATACTAAAATGCACAGGAGAAAGGAGAGAAGCTCCGCTCCTGTTTTAAATCCTCGTGGCTGGGTTTCTTCAGTCCTATGGCTTGGTTTTCATCCTTTCGGCAGCCTAACAAGTTCCTCCTGAAGGCTGAGTCTGTGCCAATCACTGCGTGAAACCACTTTCAGTTTGTGGGCCGGAGCAAGTTTGGACCCGGATGCCTGGAGAAAGACAACCCAGCACCAGCCCCTCCAGCTCTGCCAGCGCCTGGGGCTTAAAGCTGGGGTAACCTCGACCTGGTCACTGGATCAATTCAAAGGTCCTTAAAACAGCAGCTGCGGTCTTGTAGCCTTGGCAAAGTGACTCTCCCGAACGTCAAGGTCAAGCACGCTGCAGCTACCATCCAACTGGCAAAGGAGAGGGGGCGCCCCCGCCCCACGCACCCGCTAGGTCCTCACTGCCTCGGGCTGCTGGGTGGAGAAGGGGCAGGGAAGGAGGTGTCCCCGGAGCAAACACAAAGAACTCGCTCCCCCATCACGTCCCAGCACTTCGTCCGGCTCGGCGCGCACTGCTGCGCACAGGACCCCAGCGCTCGCCTCGCTCCGGGAGCCGGGCCCTCGCCCCGCGGGAGTTCTGCGGGACGCCCAGAGCTCCGAGTGAGGGTGACGCGGCCGCGCGCCAGCCTGGCCAGCCCGCCCGCGGCCACCGCGCTCACCTGTCCCGCCTGCAGCGCCAGCTGCACGGCCGCCTCGAAGCACTCTTCCCAGGGGCTCCCAGCGAGCGCCGCCTCGTCCTTGCCGCCCGGCTTCATCACGGCCTCGCCGGGTCCCGCCACCTCCGGCCGTCCTCCAGGGTCCAAGAGGGACCCCGGCTCCCGCCGCCCGGACGCCAGGCTCCGCACGCCCTCCTCGCGTTCCCGCCAACTCGCGCCTGGTCCACCGCACGCCGCACCGCCGCGCCCGCAGGAAGGGAAGCGTGGGGGGCCGTGGCCCGGGTAGCCGCGCCTCGAGGCCCGCCCCCGGCCCGCCCCACTGGGCGTACCCCGCACGCCCCTGGGCGTCGACCCCGCCCTCCCCACCCCCGCACGCAGCCCGGCGCCCCCGCCCCTAAGGCCCCGCCCCGCGCCGTCCCGCAGGGCCCCGCGCCCCGGCGGGCGCTGGCGGGGCAGAGGGTTGGGTACGCGGGGCTGGGTCCTGGCGGGCTGCTGCCGGGTGAGCGCAAGGGCCAGGCCACGGCTCTGCCCACCACCGCCAATCCCGGGGCGCCTCTGCGCGCAGCGGCGATCCGGCCCGCACCTTCCAACCGGTCGCTGTTTGTCCGCGGAGGTCGCTGGACGTCCGCCTGCTCGGGTCCCGTGTGGGCAGCAGGCAGGCGGGTTGGATGCACAGAAGCTGCCATTCAGGCTGCAGCCCAACCCACGTGACAGTCACCGGGGTGCGGGAACTGCTCAAAATCAAAACTGGAACTTGAGCCTGAACTGTGACTGTGGCCAGCCTGTCCGTACTGAGGCATGACCCTTTAAACCGCAAGGCTTCCACCTCTGGCACCATGAAAAAGTGAATTCCAGGCATTTCCTGAGAGGAACGGCGGCGGTGTCCAAGAGTGTAACGCCGAGCAGCTCAGCCCAGCCCTTTTACAAAAGCTGCTGAGCGTGTGGAAGCGGTCTGGCTTGGCCCTTCCCAGAGCCTGGGGAGACCATGAGTTTGTGTGGGAACCCTGAAGGGACGGTTGTTCACTCCAGTTAACCTAAGGATGGGAGTGGGCATTTGTGGAGAAACTTTAGGTGTACCGTTCTGGGACAAAAATTCCAAACAGCAGGAGGAAGTAGGAAGGTAGACTTAGGGACAGATTTAGGGCTTACCTCACGAAGCCTGCTCATCTTATGGTTCAGAAGAGGAGACCAAGGATCGCCCTGGCCAGTTTAGGACAGGCAAAGGGGTGCTCTACTCCATCCTTCTTATGCTGAGTGATTCGTTTTAAAACGAAATGAGCTCAGTGGTTGATCTTCATGGCAGGTTGTGTGTGTGTGCTGCTGTGCTGGGGACTGAACCCAGGGATGCTCTACCACCGAGCTATATCCCCAGTCCTTTTCGTGTTTTATTTTTTATTTTATTTATTTATTTTGGTTCTGGGGATTGAAACCAGGGATGCTTTACCACTGAGCTACATCCCTATCCTTTTTAATTTTTTGTTGAGACAGGGTCTCCATAAGTTGCTTAGGGCCTTGCTAAATTGCTGAGGCTGGCTTTGAACTTGCCTCAGCTTCCCGAGTCACTGGGATTACAGCCATGTGCTAATGAAAATCTAATGAAAACTTGTGCCAGGCTACAAGTTTTCATTAGAGATCATAGTCAGGAAGCGATGAAATTTCTCTTTGGCCTCTTCTCAGCTCCCCTTTCTGAATCTCTCTCCTTCCTCTCTGAACTGTGACCCAACCAGGAAGCTTCTTTATATCTTTTGATAAACTTTTATTAGGATCTCAGCATATCTAAACATCTACATTAAAAGACTTGATAGCTTCCTTGTCTAACTGACAAATATCTTAAGGCACAATAGTGTGACTTTTTTTTTTTTTTTTTTTAGAATTTTAATATTTATTTTTTAGTTTTCGGCAGACACAACATCTTTTTGTACGTGGTGCTGAGGATCGAACCCGGGCCGCACGCACGCCAGGCAAGCGCGCTACCGCTTGAGCCACATCCCCAGCCCAATAGTGTGACTTTTTAAAGATGTGAAGCTTGGAGCAGCCAGACTTGCCTGAATTGAGGTACTTTCTTCCTTGCTGTGTGCAAGTTACAAATGCCCTTGAAGCCCCTTTTCTTTTTTAAAGAG